ACCACCAATAACTTAAAACAATGACAAAAATGTGACCTATTTATTTTACTAACAAAGTTAAGCTTAGCAAAAAAGTCTGAAAGAAACATTACATAAATGATCCGCCCTTTGAAAGGACAAAACAGTGCGAAAAATGTTTTAAACTTGTGCAACAGTAATAAACGTTCGGAAGAACATTCTTCTTCCTTTGTATTTTATAAAAGCCTCAGCAACAGAGTATAATTCAAACTATTTATTTGTTTATATGTCCCGTTTTGCTATTATGTCAGAATAAAATTTAAAGTATAATTCAAGAACTCCTGCAGGTATTAAACGAGACTGTACCTGCTATACCTGTAGGGTAAAAAGTTCACCTAGCATAGAAACCCTGGATAACAAATGAGATTGTAGGATTAATAGAAGAAAGGCGGAAATACAAAAACAGGACAGATGAAGAAGGGCAAAAAAGATATAAGGCTATAAAGTGGAAAATAATTAGTAAGTGTAGGCAGCTAAGGAACAGTGGATTGATAGGATGTGTAAAGAAGTAGAAGAAAAGTTTGAAGTAAGTAAAGCCGATGAGGCTTATAATATAATTAAAAGGAATTTTAGAGATGTAAGGTACAGTAGTAATAATATAAGAAAGGAGGCAGGGGTCATTTTGATAGAAAATGAGGAAGAGGCAAATAGGTGGAAAGGATATTTAGAGAACCTACACGCAGGCCCTGAATTAGGAGATATATTAGAGAAGGAAGATAGTGTGGAGATAAATAAGCTACGTTATGCCATAATGAGAGAAGAGTTCGATGTAGCATTAAAAAACTTAAAAAATAATAAGGCGCCAGGTGTAGATGGGATACAGGGGGAAATTCTAAAACATGCAGGACAAGAGGTTAGAGATCGTATGTTTAAGCTAGTTTGTCACATTTACGAGACGGAGAAAGTTCCAGAGAAAAAGCGAATATAATGACAAGAAACTAAAAATTAGAAGAAGTGACTGATTTTATATATCAAGGAAGTCAGATAAGTCAGGAGATGCGGATATAGTGGATAGATACGGTTAGAAATGAAGAGGTATTAGAAAGAATAGGAGAACAGAGGACTCTATGGAAGTCAATAAAAAATAGGCGAGATAGGTTGGTAGCACACCTTCTCATGCATGAAGGTCTAGTCAGAGACATATTAGAGGCAGAAAAGGAAGATAGAAGGGGTAGAGGTAGACCTAGATTAGATTATCGTTCGCAAACAGTTAAGGATATGGGTTGTTCTAGTTTTAGGGAAATGCGAAGATTAACTCAGAATAGAAAAGAATGGAGGTACGTGTCCAACCAGTCTTAGGACTGACGACCTTATGATGATCATGATATGAAAAGACGACTGAAGGTATTTGCACGAGTTTCCTTATATCGTATTTTTCAAAAGAATGATGAAATCCGTTGACTATGTGTAACAGAATATCCGAATGTCCGGTTCTCAATCTGCGTCTACTGAATACGGATTCGTTATATCCTTTTGGATAAAGCACCGTCAATAGTTTAAAATTTGAAACGAAAAATCGATTGAAAAATACAGGAATGGTAGGTACACGTGTAGTCAACTACGCTTACGATTTAATAAAACCTCTTGACCAGAAATCATTTCGTTAAGCAAATATCAGTAAAAGCAGTAATTTGAAATTACGGCGAAACGGTTTAACCTTTGACCTTTTTGAATGCTTTATGATGGAAAACATCCCAACAAATGCCTAAACCATAAAACTCTAATAATTCTGCACGAAAGTCCTCTTCAAGGCTCGAGATTTCTAACATTTCGTTACTAGTGAGCAAAGGAAAAAGTCATAAAACGACTTATTGTTTCAGAAAACACCATCTTTTACATAATGAATTAGTTTCAAAAGAACTTGCTACATGTTCTTTTACTTTAGATTTTTATGTCACGGGTAGAGAGAGTAGAACAGTAGGGATATGGATACACAGGGGCAAAAGATTAGTATGCTTAAATTTGCAGTATTAGCATCTATATATCAAAAGTGTATGGTATGTTCTGACTTTGTAGAACCTTAAAAGTGTTTTTTCTGCCACTTCAGTCGTCAGGTCAGATCTAAAAGAAAAATCCCCTAATTGGTCCGATGAAACGTATAACGGTATTACTGCCTATTGTCGAAATTCGATTAATTGGGCCACTTTATTTTACTTTTAAGTAAAAAAGGTATTAAGAAAGAAAAAATCATTGCGTCGACAGGGAATCGAACCGAAGCCACATAATTAACCCAATTGTTTAAATTAAACAATATTTGTCGTTGTATAGTTAAGAAATACATATTAAAAAGTACATAGATAGGTATGAACTTTTGCAAACTTTATGGAAATAAATACCTTATAATCATATACATATGAAAATTGTATCATACATTAAACTTTAAATGAAGTGCAATTCTACATACTCCTACCACACAGTATCGTTCAAAATACATGAGTTTATCACACACATAAAAGATTTTATGACATCATCTAATCAATAGAGCTAAATAAACTCAACGAATTAAGAGCTAGTATGACCCCACAGTAAATTTATTGTTAATGGTAGAAACATGATGGAATGAAGTATGCAATAAAACCTCTTAATCTAATTGAAGCAATGTAATTTTCATTCAGTTCCATTACTATAATTAATACAGGTTTAAAAATAAAGTTCTGGGGAATCATCTGTGTCGAGTGTGGTCACACCTTGAAACAAAACCGTTTATTCATATACGACTAACATTTAAAAATGTCCGGGTTGAGTAAGTACAACAAGGGAAAACATAGAAACAAATCCGCAAGGAATTTCCGTGAATTTTAAAAATGCCTCTCTCACGAGATATTTGGAATATACTACATAATTCCCTACACAAGAAAAGTGATTGTTAATATTTCGTATACCTACGTATAATCCAAGGTCTAACAATAAAAATATTACCTACAAAGTTTTTTACGATTTCGTAACTCGAAATGATAAAATGAAATTTTCATATAGCTCACCTCCTGTTAACATAGAATCTTGAAATTTTGATAGAAGGCCTTGTAGTACTAACAAAAGAAGAAAAAAAAACCAAAATCATTCACCACTAATTCTTTGCAGTATTATTACGTGACAAACTTAATTTATTTAGCTTTGATCTACAATATGGTATTAACATTAGTACCTATTCACAAGCAAATGTAGTACAAAAGATCTCGCACTAATCTTATGAAAACTGAATTTTAGCAAAATCGTCTGAATTTATGTCATAGCCGTCGTCGTACCGTTCAAAAGTATGAGGACTATTATACGTATTTTTGATGCTAATAAAAAAGTATCGTCCAGATATATTTCACGAGTCAACTACACGAGTAAATATAAAAGAAAACTTAATCCAATTAACTAAATCTTATAGTTTAGATAATAGTTATTTTGAGGTAATGTAATTAATTCAATAATTTAATCTCAATGGATTAAAACAATGTAATTATACATATATTAAGTATGAATTACACAATTCATTGCATATAACTCAATTCCCACCACAACGAAAAATAAAGATTGATTTTTCTGTTTTATCTGTTTTTAGAGGTTGAATAAAAAAATACATTAAAAAGGTACTCGATTTTATTACAATTCCTCAAATAAATCTAGTAGGTAAATATTAAGATTTAGTTAATCTGAATAATTTATTTTATGTTTACCAGTATTTTAAGCTATGAGATACGAAGGCCTCTAACGTAAAAAATTCGTAATATGCATAGTTATGCCCATTAAGACTTTTGGTCAGGACGGTGAGGGCTGTAACATATCCAAAATTCAAACGATTCCTCTGAAATCCACTTTTCACAAGATTAAATCCATAATGTATTTGCATTGCGATAGCATAACGATGCGGAATCCTCTGAATATAAATCCTAAAAAAGCTAAACTATATATATAGCCTAACTGCTTAAAATTTAAATTTAAATTGGAAAGAATACACAACACACAGTATTTGTCTATTTCACATTATGTACATATAGTTTCATATATTCAAATTTGGATTTTTAATCTTACTATTAGCGATTTGATATATAGGTACCATGTATCTACCCTTAAAAAATATCACTGAGTTTTATAAAATATAATCAATTGTAATGACTTTTAGATGTTAAATCAGCTATGCATTGATTTGTCATGTTAATTTTTAGATGTTTTATTAAAATTGTGCACTAATATTATCAAAGATTTCTTACAAGAATTTTAATTTTGTATGTATCTGCGAATAAACTGCGATAACAATCAAACAAATATGCCCAAACACAGAAAAAAAGCAAGAGTCAAACTAGGTACTTCTTTACATTCAACAACACGTAGAAAGAGCAGTAAAATTATGGCAAAAAGGACCCAGAAAGAGACAGTAAAGCAAAGAATAAAGTGATGTTACCTACTACAGATGTACACGCTTTTACTGTTATTTTTGTAAACACAATTACCTAGAAGTTTTAATTTTATTAAGTACATCTAATGTAGATTTCCTAGTCTCAATTGAGAAAATGGTTTCACAATCCCAACAGATTGTTTTAAATTATGGTTTTTACCATAACAGGACCTTTATCAGCTTTTATGTTCCATCTAAACTTATTTTATGTAAAAACAAATAATAAACTATGCTGTACGTTATTGTATTGCCTTTTTATGTTACGTACTGATAAGCCCTAGAACATTAAGTTAAATGTGCCGTATATTGTACAATTTTAATATTAAAACATATTACTTAATAAAATTTTTACTATATTAAACTGTTAATGCTAATGCTTTATTAGGTAATTCGAAATATCTATGTACCTACCGAGCAAAATTAAACCAAAGTCGTAAAACATTTCTTATTAGTACCTACTTATCCACTTGTTTTTATTTACAAGTGTACTTAACTATTTCACCAAATGTTTTGGACAAATCAAATCGATGAAATGAAGTTTAACTAAATACTAATACAGGTCTATTAATATTTAATATAGAAATTGAAAATTACTTACATTTACCTCGTAGTAAAGTAAATTGAAAAAAGTATTAACAACCGGCGCGGTAGTATTTTAATGTCACGTATTAAGATTAAATTCGAGAACGGCGAAAGCTCGGACAGTTCAGACAACAACTGAGTAGAAAAGCTCAAGCGCACGTTGTTTCACAAACGCTAACAGTACACAGATTGCACTACGCAGGCGCTCGCTTTCTACTACGGTACCACGATTTCCAGCTTTTCACATTTCACCTTACATACGCATCCTATCACCTGGAACCTTGCCGTAAATGGTTGCACGAGCGAATGACTCGTGGAATTGAGAAATTTAGGGGTAGCTTTTAATCGATGCGGACGTGCTCATAATAATGCAATTTCTTGCGCCATTAAATAAGTCCTAGGCTAATTTCCATCAGTTCACATGAGATCTCATTAAAATTAGTAGCAGAAAATTATCTACAGAAGACTATTTTCAAAAAAAATGAATAAATTCATACGTTAAATGCTCAATTTGACCGGCAAAAAAATAGATTTCCCTGTGTCTTCAATGTATCTCTTTTAATGAGGTTAGGAAATTACACTGTTAAAAAGCAGTTAGTTGAAAACGCAAAAATCACGGACTTTTTAATATCTTTGATACATTGTTAATTTTTAATAGCTTCACATAATAAAATTTTACGTATTTGTGGAACTGCAGTGAGAAAAAGATTACTTTCGCACAACAAATCTAGTAAATAATTAGTAATAACAATTATGCAAATTATTATTTAGTAAAGCTGTTAATAATTATGAATGAAAATGGAGACTAAATATGAAAAATCACATGAAAAATGAAAATGTTTCATCATTATAAATGAAAATAGTGGTATGCAAGGAAAGAAAAAATAGGGAAAGAGCGAATATAAAGATAGGAGACGAAAAATTAGAGAAAGTGAATGATTTTCGATATTCAGGAAGTCAGATAAGTCAGGATGGAAGGAGTAGTACGAATATGAAGCAGAGAATCAGCGCAGGGTCGAGTTGCTTCTATGCTCGCAAACGATCAATTTAGAAATTTGAAAAAGATTGTTGAAGGCATATGTTTGGAGCGTGGTATTATACGGGTGCGAAACATGGACGGTGTGTGCGGCAGTAAGGAAAATGTTAGAAGCGTTCCAAATGTGGTGTTACAGGCGAATAATGAGGATATTGTGGATAGAGAAGGTTAGAAATGAAGAGGTATTAGAAGGAATGGATGAACAGAGGACTCTATGAAAGTTAATAAAAAAAGGGCGAGATAGGTTGGTAGGACACCTACTCAGGCATGAAGGGCTACTCAGA